TAGCTGTATACCTAAATTTTTGACGGTATTAATTCTGTTATTTCGGTATTTTGCGAACGGTTAAAGCTATCATAAAATTTTTTGCACCAGCTAAGTGCTACCGGAATGTAACACCAATATACCGAAAAACCGGTATACCGTCTAAATTTGTGGCGATATTAAGGAGCACAACTAGTGTGAAATTTTCAAAAAATCGAATTTTCAACATTTCCATATTTCGATAGGTTATACCTTTAAAAATAACATACCAAAATTTTAAATCGATATCTTGAATAGTTTTTGAGTCACAGCCATCTAAAGAGTATATATATATAGTATATAGTATAACGATCATTTTATTTTTAAACGCGTTTTTCTCGAAACAGCATTTTCCAAATTTGCTGCAGCGATTACTCAAAAACAAATAAACCGATCTCTGTTAAATTTTTTTTACATGTTCTATATATAGTTCTCCGTAAAATGAACTATTGATTTTTTGATCGGATCAAAAATCGAATTTTGGCAGTCTAAAAACGACCAAAATTTTGGGTAAAGTACGACTTTTTTTTAAAAAAACGCCGTCATTTTGTCAATTTTTAATTTTTTTTTCTTTATCGTAGTTCATTTTACAGACAATATTATCTAGTTTAATGAGATTTTTTTTTTAATTTCATCCACGTAGAAGGCCGGAATCACTGCAGCAGTGAGTGCCTATTTTTGTCGCGCCGTTGGAGATCGACGATAACTTAAAAAATATTTAATTTTTTTCTCCAAAAATTTTACTATGTTTTCTTAAAACATGTATAAATATATTCCTAAAATTTTGAAATGATTGAAACAGTAGTTTTTTTAATATAAATTCCCAAAAATCACCTTTTTCTTAACCGGTTACACTAGTTGTGCCCCTTAATTCTGTTATTTCGGTATTTTGCGAACGGTTAAAGCTATCATAATTTTTTTTGCACCAGCTAAGTGCTACCGGAATGTAACACCGGTATACCGAAAAACCAGTATACCGTCTAATTTTTTGGCGGTATTAATTCTGTTATTTCGGTATTAAAACGTAAACCTCAGTTGATACAAGTTACTTTCAAGCTTGAGTTTCTTGGAATCATTCAAATTTTAAAAACCGAATTACTAGTATCAATTTTTTTTATCGGTATTGCATTCCCCCTTTACTTATCACCATAATTTTTTTAATTGCTATTTATGCAAAATGCTATATAAATATATTATTGTCTTTAAAATTTAACAGTTGTTCTATATATTAATATTATTTATCTCTATAATATAAAAATATAGCATTGCTTTTCGTATGAATAACAGACTTTTAGCTGATATCCATATGGGTTAGTTTGAATACAAAAATATTTATTTAAATTCATATATATATATATATATATATATATAATTTTATAATCTTAAAAAAATAATGTCTTAACACTATGAATATAATAACAAATATGGAATGTCACTAACGTTTCGATTTCCTTAACTTCTTATGACTAACAATAATAAAATATGCATAAAATTAACATGGCTATAAAAACATTGTTTTAAAATTCTATAGTAACATTTTATATCAATTTTAGTCTAATTTATAGAAAAATACTTTCATTTGAGGTAACAATCTAATAAATTATTTACTAACGATTAAACTATGAGTTAGTAAATAAGCATACTGTATAAATCTAATAATAAAATATGTTAAATGTTAACCCTTTCACTTGACAACCTGTGTGTACGAGTGTCGCCTTATAAGTATAAATAGATCGCAAACACGACGGTTTTGCCATGACTCCAATTTGAATTGTTTGCGCTCTCCATAGAGTGCGCCAGTAAATAAGATTTATATAAATATATACGGAAAGGGTTCATTTACGATAAAAACTTTAAAAATCCTTTAAAAAATACTTAAAATATAAATAAAGCTTTTAAACTAAACTATTATTCATATTAAGTTCTCATAACAAATCATGAAATTTTCGATTAAAATTTTCTTATAAATCTACTAAATAAATACTGAAAAATGTAAGTTATAACATTTGAACATATATACATCAGGGTGGTCCTTAATATGAATATTTTCGAATTTTCTTGCGCCCAGGGGCTCAAATGCTACCAAATTAATAAAAGAAAATCCTATAAAAGTTTTAGCTCTTAATATTAACATTTAGATAGTCCGCAATGCAATCAAAAAGTTTCTTGGTTCTTCTTCCTAAGTAAGTACTTATATAAATTTTTTGTTGTATTTTTTTATTTATGATCTAAATAAGCAAATACAATGCTATTCTCAAAATTTTGATTCACTTGTCAAGTTATAAAACAAATGGAGTTGTACTCAAGATACTTCGATTCAATTGCGAACTATCTTAAGGTTAATATTAAGAGCTAAAACTTTCAGAGAATTTTGTTTTATCAATTTGGAAGCATTTAAGCCCCTGGGAGCAAAGAAATTCGAAAAAATCCATATTAAAAACCACCCTAATATACATATGTATATATAAAACTCTTGGAATGTTTACTTGCAGCCAAATATTCGAAAAAAAGCAATATAATCAACTATTATAATAATGTACGTTTCGACGCTGTGTGCATGTCATTATTCAGCATGTTTAACAAATTTAAAAAAAATATTTTACAAAGTTTTAAAAAAACATTACAAGACTACTAGAAGACCAGAAAAAATATCAACCAAACTAGGAAAAAAAACAACAGACGATTTTTAAAAATAAACATTGAATGCAATAATACAATAAAGTTAAATAATAAAATGAAATTAACGAAAATAAAACAAAGTATTAAAAATATTAAAAAAAAAACAGAACTTGGAAGTTTTTTTTAAATAATTGATAACATCATAAATAAAAAAGAGCTGAATTACGTGATACAAAATGCTAAAAACAGATACAGCAAATTTCTAAGATCACATTGACTTTCTTTATGCTAAATGTTAGTATTAAAAGAATGATTTAATAATAATATGTTCCGAAAACATAGTTTTGTGTTGATTTGGATTTTTTGAACTACAGATATATTGATTTATTCTCTTGCAAATATTTTGTGAACTTTCACCAATATAACATCAATTGCAATCGTTACAATTTACTTTGGAAACACCTTCAATAATACGCTTATATTACATCATTTTTATATATCTTTACGTTTCAAAAGTTTCTGAACATTTTGGAATACCTTAGAAAAATAAATAAGTGTGTGTTTGGTGTGTGCGCATTTCTTCGTCCACGTTTTCGGGCGCACGGATCAACCGATTCAAATGGTTCGAAAAACATTTGATCCCTATTGATAGGGAGATGTGCTGATTAGTTTTTGGCAAAGACAGGTCCAGCCGTTACGGAGATATGGAGCAAAGAGTGCAGAAAATGCAAATCGAGTTTTTGAGAGAACGGAGCATCCGATTTGAATGATTTAAAAAACATTCAATTCGTAATAATGGGGAGAATTGGTGATTAGTTTTTGGCAAAGGCAGGTCCAGCGGTTTCGGAGATACTGAGCAAAGAGTGCAGAAAATACAAATCGAGTTTTTGAAGAAAAAGGGATTTCCGATTTGAATGATTCAAAAAACATTCAATTAGTAATGACGGGGAAAAGTGGTGGTTAGTTTCTGGCAAAGGTAGGTCCAGCAGTTACGGAGATACAAAGCAGAGAGTGCAGAAAATGCAAATCGAGTTTTTGAGAGGACGGAGCATCCGATTTGAGTGATTTAAAAAACATTCAGTTTGTAATTATTGGGAGAATGGGTGATTAGTTTTTGGCAAATGCAAGTCCAGCCATTTCGGAGATACCGAGTTAAATGTGTAAAAAATAGAAATTGCGGAGAGGAAAAAGCTTCCAATTCGAATGATTTATAAAACATTTTGCATGCGATTAGTTGAGAAAAGCGATTTTTTTCCCGAAATAAAATTTTTTTTTTTTATTTCCATTGTTCTAAATATGAAAAATGATCCGAATTTTAATCACATTTTTGGCTAAAATTCTAAAGCTCACTTAAATACTTTAAATAAACAACTTTAACTTTGCAATTCAGTTTATATAATTCTTAAAAATATGAGATAAGGTCTTTCAATTCTAACACGACTTGATCAAGTTTTGTTTATTTACTTTCATATGTTTATATAAACGCCGTCGTCCAATTCATAAGCTCTTATATTTTGTCTATAAAATAATAATAAGAATAATAAAAGTCGCAATATTTATAATAATCTGAATCTAATTTGAAAGCATTTGAGATTCCTCAAATATTTCATTACGGTACGGGAAGTTCTAGCAATTTGCCTTAAGGCACGATGCCATACACCACTAGTTAGTATATTTATTTGTATGTTTTGTCCTGTTTTAGATTTTTACTTGTTATATTTTCTATTACACTCGTAAAAAATGTTTTTGTAACTTTGTGGAATTTGTTAAACATGCTGAATGATGACACACATACAGCAGTGTCGAAACGTATAAATAAATAGATATATATATATATATATATATATATATATTAAATTTGAGTTAAAAAGTCGGGCGTCACATCAATAAAAATAGTATGAGTGTTTTTAGAAATATATTTAAAATCCATACGTTTCGGCTAGCATCTTAGCCTTCATTCAGTGGCAATCAATTTAACTATAAAAATTAGAACTAAATGAAATGTAAGAAATTTCATAGAAAAACAATAATAATAATAATAATAATAATGATAAAAGACAATTTTGTATCCTAATATAACATATGAAAACATTAGTAATCCGACGTCCGACGTCCGACTTTTTAACTCAAACTAAATATATTATATTAAATATATATCATATATATATATATATATATATATATATATATAACACAGAATTATATACTTTATTCTCAAGTTCCCAAAGTAATAATTGTTGACCATAGAAAATTTACCCGCATTATCCATATGGCAACTTTTTAAATACTTATCACAAAGACTACTGTCCTTTATTACCATCAATGTCAGCAATATCTCGAAAAAAAAAATTAAAATTTATTTTTCAATTTGTAGTACCTTTATGCATCTCCAAATGCTCCAAATAATTATCATTAACAGTAAAAAACTTCCCGCAAACCTCACAAATAAACCGACTTTTATGCATTTTCATATGCTTTTTCAACAAACTCGCAAGTCCAAAAAATTCACGACATTGCGGACACTGATGTATAGTATGATTATTAAATTTATGACTCTTCAAACGCTCATTAGAAATAAAACGCTCTGGGCAAACATCAAGGGAACGGTAATTCCCCGTGTGCCCCATTTTGTGCCGTTTAAGATCTTGGGATTTCAGGAATTTTTTATCACAAAGGTCGCAACAATGTTTTTTTTCGCCTGTATGTGATCTGATGTGCTGTTTTAGACGGGAACTACTAGGGAAAGCTTTGGGGCAAAAGTGGCACCGGTAGGGACGTTCGCCGGTGTGGGATCGTTGGTGCAAATCTAGGCCTGCTTTGGCACGAAAACCCTTTCCACAAGGTTGTCCCTGGATTTGAAAGTCGCATACAAAGGGTTTTTCGTTGTTGTGTATCCTCAAGTGCACCCTGAGTTGACCAACGGCTATAAAACCGGCACCGCAGACATCACACTTGTGATCCTTTTGACCCGAATGGGTTTTCATATGGATAATAACACCGTTGTACGTAGCAATTTTTTTACCACAAATAGTACAAACATACTTATCGTTAGTGTGTGAACGCATGTGCTCTTTTAGTAAAAAAGATTGTTTGTAACTTTTATCGCATAAGTCGCAGGCGTAAGGGCGCTCGTTCGTGTGGGTTCTGAGATGTCTCCGCATTTCATCAGGACGTTTGAATTCTTTGCCGCAAAAATTGCATAAAAGTATGCGTTTTTCTTTGTGGGCTTTTAAATGACGTGCCAGGGAACAGGAATGGGAAAAAGTTAAGTTGCATACTGGACAAGATTGTATGGCTAATTTTTTGTGCTCGCCCGAGTGCACGCGTAAGGCTTTTTTGGTGTCGAAGCTTTCGAAACATTTGTTGCAGGGATATGCGCCCGGTTTTTGCACAAACTTATTTAAATCTGGAGGAATGGTATCGATACATTTAATACTATCAGGTACACTAACAGGGTCATTATTATATTTAATACTATCGGGTACGTTAACTGTGTCTTTTCCCCTATGAATTTTTAAGTGTCTCGTCAACGAACTAGAATAACCAAACGTTTTACCGCAAATTTTACAACTCAAAGACGCAGGATGATTCTTATCATTATGTATTTTTAAATCCTCAATGTGATCGAAGGAATGTGAACATTTACCGCAAGGATAATCGCCAATGGTACAAAATAAATTATTTTGAACTACCTGTAGTAAATCGATGGGATGAACTTCTGTTTCCGAAGACAGGATTGTATTGACGTCGTTGTTGTTCAAAGTGTCTTCGGCAAAAGTTCTTTTATCGGTGTCTTCGACAAAAGTTCTTCTATCGGTGTCTTCGACTGAATTTCTTTTATCAAAGTCTTCGACTGAAGTTCTTTTACCGGTGTCTTCGACAGAAGTTCTTTTACCGGTGTCTTCGACAAAAGTTCTTTACCGGTGTCTTCGACAAAAGTTCTTTTATCGGTGTCTTCGACAAAAGTTCTTCTATCGTCGTCTTCGACAAAAGTTCCTTTACCGGTGTCTTCGACAAAAGTTTTTTTATCGGTGTCTTCGACAAAAGTTCTTCTATCGTCGTCTTCGACAAAAGTTCCTTTACCGGTGTCTTCGACAAAAGTTTTTTTATCGGTGTCTTCGACAGAAGTTCTTTTTTCGTTGTATTTGATGTAGTCTCTTAAGATTAGATCGGATTCTTGACACTGCATTTTGAATTTGAAGGCTTTCGTGATGTTTTCAAGGCACTCGTAACACATTTTTTCGGGTAGTCCGTCGTTTGCTTCAACCTGAAAAGAAAACACTTTGTTTTAGTAAAGACATAAAACAAAATGAAGTATAAAGTTTTAATTGTGAAGAGTAAATTGTAAGTAAAGTGTAATAAATTGTAAGTAAAGTGTAAAGTGTAAATCGTATGTAAAGTATGAATTGTGAAGTTTGAAGTAAATTTTAAGTAAATTGTAAATTTTAAGTAAAGTGTAAAGTGTAAGTAAAGTATAATTTGTAAGTAAATTGTAAAGTGAAAATTGTGAGAAAAGTGTAAAGTATAAATTTTGAGTATATTGTAAGTAAAGTGTGTAAATTGTTAATTGTAGAGTGTGTATATTGTTATGTGTAAATTTTAAAGTGTAATCTGTAAGTAAATTGCAAATTATAAATTTAAATTGCAAATGTAAATTGGAAAATGTAAATCAGTGATCCCAAACTTATTTCACCTACCGCCCCCTTTCCAGAAAAAATGTTACTCACGCCCCCCTTACAACTTTCCGAAGGAGAAGTTTGTTTTCTTCAAAAAATCCGATTCGCTAATTTTATGTTTTCTCGGCGTTTCAAGCCATTCTGAATCGAATGAGACCAACAACTGGACAGCAGTATGTGTGTGTGTGTGTTTAGATTTTTTGCCGTAAATCGTCGTTTTCTCAAAAATGGCTGGACCGATTTCAAACATTTAAAAGCCATTCGATGTATTTCGATGAGGACTAACGTTTCTTAGTTTTGTTCGACGATCGGCCGAGCCGTTTCTTTGTAAATAGCAGAAAAGTGAAAAAAAATTCGTCCACGTTTTAGCCCGCAATTCTGAATCGATTTTGAAAATTCAAAAACTGTTCGAAACATATTGGTTGGGAATCGACCTGATTAGTTGTTGGTAATGATCGGCCGGGCCGTTTTCTTGTAATAAAGTGTTTTTATTAATATAAGTAGTAGTAATTAATAAGTAGTAGTAATTTTTTAGACAATTTTTATGTTTTTTTTTTGACGGTAGATACCACAGTCTTATAGATCATACTAAAATATAGCGGTCCTACGACAAGTCGTTAAATTTTAAAAATTCGCCAAAGTTTGCAAAAATTGGTATCGTTTTTATCGCGTTTGTCAAAATTATAACTTTCAACGATGTTTGCTTAAAAACGCATAAACTGATTTTAAAAATTTAGAAGCCAATCGATGTATTTCGATTATAATTTTAATGTGATGGAAAAAGAATGACGGGAGGTGCGCTCGTACCTACGGTAAATTTGTTCGCAAAAAGTAATAAAGGTAGTCGCGTTAAAATTCAAGCAATATTGGATTTAGACTAGGAAATTAATACTATATCAAAATCGCTATTCCAAAAATTACGCGTTTAATCTCAATCCACGAGCCTTAAGCTCCACGGTGCTGTTGGAATTTCAACGAAATCGAATAATTTTTCTAAATAAATTTAGAAATATTTAATGAAGATGGTACATTTGCGACAAATATAAATGCCTTTGCGCTTACGAAAACATCGAGTCTACTACCCGCGCAGGAAATCCAAATTTCTAAACTAAATCTTCCTAATGGATTAAAACTTTTGGATTACACTTAAATGCACACAAAATGAAAATTAAATATTCCGTGCGATGTAGATATCTTGATAGGTGTTGATACGTTTTTTGAAATTTTAAGTAACGAAAGAATTATACTAGACCC